GTGTGTGTGTGTGTGTGTGTGATCAGCCCCTTGTGCCTCTTTGCCTAACAGTGTTACCAGCAGCTTAGTCCATCGCCAAGAAGTGCGGCGATTGTGGCTGCAAAAGCAGCAGGAGCCCCCACATGCCTTCTCAAAACAGCTGATCTGCTGTGCACTCTTGCAGCCGGCTCCAAGAAGTGTGGCCCTTTTGCAGCTTCAATCTGCAGGTGCCCTCATCCCCTTGGATCCTGCCCTTCATCTATTGTAACCCAACACAGCTGTGGGCGGGGGAGGATAGGAGTTGTGAGCCGGTCGTCGCTCCTCTCTTGCTCTTTGCCAAACCTTGCCCGCCTTCTCCCCGACCCCAAAAACCTTGCGCTGTGGCTGCCATGGGGGCAGGGGGGGGGGAGAAACGACAACTCTGTGTGTGTGTGAAAGAGAGCGAGAGCGAGAGCGAGCTGATACAACCTCTCTCTCTCTCTCTCACACACACACACACACATCCCTACCCCCACCCCCTCCCAAGGCAGCCACATCCCTCCACTAACCTGATATCCAACTCCATTCTCCGCTGCATGTGCAGGACAAGAAAAGTAGTCTGTGCGACTATGGTAAAAAAAAATACCAGAAATTCAGACCTTCCAACTTCTCAAAAAAATAAAAATAAAAAAAAAATCATGAAGTTGGAAGGTTTTTTGACCATAGTCCCAACAGACTACTGTTCTTGCCCTGCACGTGGCAATGGAGAATGGAGGAGGAAAGCAGGTTAGTGGAGGGATGTGGCTGCCTTGGGAGGGGTGGGGTTAGGGATCTCTCTGGTGCTCTCTCTTTCTGTCTCTCTCTCTCTCACACACACACACACAGAAACACACACACACCATCCTTTCCTTGGGAGCTCTGCACAGATGCATGGATTGCAAAGCTGAAGGCTTTGGATAGAGCATTTTGGGGATGTGCGTCTGCACTGTGATCCCAAGCAAAGAACGATTGCCAGGAAATGGGGGGGATTTGCGTCTTATCCTGTTCTCAGTCTGTGCTGAGCTTCAGAACAGGGTGAGAGGCAGGAAAATTCCCCCTCCCCATTTTCAAGCCGTTTGCAAAAACACCCTATTCCAAGCCTTCAATGTTGCAATCCTGGAATATACTGAAGGGTCGGATGGCAGCGATGGGACATCCGGTCGCAATAGCATGGCCAGGCCGACAGCATGGTGCAGAGTCCTGGGAAGCATGGCTGGAAGCGCGTGCACGCTGACGAGCGGCTTTGTTGCACTGCCACTGGAAGTCCTGTTGTTGCAGCAGATTGAGGTTTGTAATCTACTTACGAAAGATCAGGACTTGAGACCACGAAGGAAGAGAAACAGGTTTA